ACGCACACGCACAACTGTCATCATCATCATATTATTACTATTTTGTCATCGGTCGTGCACTCGGTGTAGTGCAGTTGTGTAACGCATGGTGTATAATACTATATACACGACGAAGAACCGGGTGCGCGCGGTATTCGATGACCGTAGTAGATAACCCAAAGTCGTCCTTTTGTCGGCGTCTCGTCCGTCCATGTCCCCAGCACCATTACTGCGGCCGTCGGACGAAAATTCGTTACGAAAAATATTTCCGGATCATATTGACGTATACCGCTGCGTGGTAGATAGAAGAAATAAGACTGACAAAAAATACGGACGCGGACAAAAATGAAGAATGTACACATTTATTTCCAAAAAAAAAAAAAAAACACTCACATACAAGCTAACGACGAATTCGCCGGAAAATAAAACAACAGCTAGAAACGGTGGTAAAACCATCATAGGTATTATATATATCTAGGGGCCAACAATGAAGAATTTCAAGTTAATTGTCCACGGCTACCATAATATAATAAAAACACGAAGCGTATTCTGGTTAATTAAAAAAATAAAATAAAAAATAACCAGGAATAACCGGAATATCGCTGTTTCTGCTGCTGCGCTGCCATACAGGCGAAGGACTCATTCACACCGAATGATTTTTTGCGTCGGATAAAAATATTGTCGTCGATGCCGCTGGCACTACATATTGCAGCAGCAGCAGCAGCCATCGGTTGCGCTGGAGATAGACATCTACGCGTGCTAGCGGGTGTGTGTGTGTGTGTTGTCTGTCCCGTGTGCGGGTAAAAAATGTTAATGCGCTGAAATTAAAATAAACGAATAATAAAAATAAATCGTCTGTCCGTCTCGCAGAACGAGATCTGTTTTTACCCCCATTGTATTTAAATGAAGACCTCGTCGGTCGCGTTTCAACGGAATAAAATTGATTTTTTCCCCTCGGCGTAACGAACGGACGAACGTATATATTATGTGTATTGTATATAAAGCGAAAAATAAAAAATAAAATGATTCAAAAAACACGCGTCAACCCATCTCTGTACCTGTACGCCACGCATGTTGTAATAATATATATAAAAAAAAAAAAACGTTGTGCTTGTGCTGCTCGTTGTGGTGCGTAGACGGTGGCGGAGACGGAGAAGAAAATATCGTGGCGCCCGGTGACGGGAAGACGAAGGCGGCGCGACTGGCGAACCGTCTTCGGCCGGGTGAAGTGGTCGGGGCGGGAAGGAGTAAAGAAATACGATAAATAAATCTCGCGTGAACCGGACCGAGTCCTCGGACTCGCGGTGTTTGTTTTCGTCGTTCGGTGCAACGCAGTATACTTTGCTCACACACAAGCGAGCACTAATTGAATGGTGCACAACGGCAAAACGACTGCGGGGCGATGCCTACACGTCCAATTATTATTACACGTACGTGCGTCGTTAATTCTTTTGGCGCCTCGACGCGCGCCCCGACGACGATAATACGATAATGATAATAATAATAATAATATGCAGAAAAGGTGTATCACGTCCGTCCGCCTCCCCGCCAGGTCCGAACGCGGCGGCGGTACATATCCATAATATTTATTGTACATACGGTTGTATTTAATATTTAGGTACTTGCACTACACCTATTGCTGCGAGCATACCGCGGTCACCGTCGTGGCGTGCATTATGTACACCGTCGTTGTGTTTTTAAGACACCGCCGCCAATTATGCACGGCCACGACGACGACGACGACACACGAATATATAATATCGTATTCCGCCGTGCAGCTCTGACAATATTATAACGAGCGCCGAAAACGGGCCGCGAGAGACGTGTTTCTCACGGACGACTAAATAATAATAATAATAATGATAATGGTAATAATGGTAATACGAAAACGAGCGTATAAAAACAACGTCGTGGTGCCGAGTAGGTAGGTCGTTACATAATATCATATTGTTGTTCGCATAAAAATTACGTTCTTTCTATTTTTTTTTTATATTTTTCGTTTAACGCCCGTCGACGACTCGCAACCGCCGCGGCGTTCAGACATCATCTTAGTACGGGCGTCGGAAATCCCCCCCGTCGACGTCAAAGGAGGATCGCACGGCAAACCGCGGCGGGCGCATCGTATTTATATTTTGGGCGGAGGACTCGTCCGTCGTCGTAGTAGTAGTAACAAAAACCGGCGGCGGAAAACGTTTTCCGTGTTACTGGAATATTATTCAAATTAATATAACGACTGAAACCGTGTACACGTGTTATACGCTCGTCGGTACACACACTGGCGCGGCTACCGGCGCTGCACCCGGTCCTCTCTGGAGCGAGCGCGATGTCGTCAGCCGATAGTACGCGTGTGTGTCGTTTATCTCTCTCGATCTCCTCCGTCCGCCCGATTCTTCCTCTCACACACTCTCTCTCTCTCTCTCTCTCTCTCTCTCCCCCTCTCCCGGTTCAGTGGCGTTCCGACGACTTGTCGTCCGCGTTTCTACCCGAGTTTTTTTTTTTTTTTTTTTTTTTTTTTATAGTATATACACATTATTATTATTATTATTATTATTATTGTGTTTTTGGGAAACGACCGCGGGAAGAGTGCGGCGTGCGGGGCACGACGTCCCGTCGTCTTCGTGCACCGTCCCGAACCGGACCCGCGCGCGTTAATAACAATAAAACGAAACGAGGCCTCGTGCAAGCCAACACACACACACACACACATGCTCGCGCGCCCGCTCACGACAGAGATAAAGGCCACCCGAACGATATTTATGCGGCCAATAAATAACGCCAGTGTTAATGGACATGAGACCCTCTTATTGTTTTTTAGTACTCTAACGCGTATATTATAATAAGTAATATTTGTGTGTGTGAGAGTGCGACGACGACGACGCAGCTCGGCTACCTCAGCAGTAGGTGTCATTAGTCGTGTGATAACAACCGGGCGGCGGCGGCGGTCGTTGTTGTTCTTTCGTCCGAGGTGCGGCCCCTTAATGTTCACACGCATATATTTACCCGGTCGCCGCCGTCGTCTCGGTCGTTTTATTTTCGTATACACGTTATTTTATTTTGTTTTTATAATTGGGATCGGTCCTTTTGTTTTTCGTCCGTCGTGCCGCCGCCGACGCCGCCCGTGTCTCTCAAAACTTGCACGTGTAGTATATAGTAATAACTCCCTCCCCCCCTCACCTGCCCTAAAATAAAGAGCGCGTCATAGAACATCAATGATGATAATAATGCGACGATATCTATTCCGCCTGCAACGCGTCTTCGCCGCCGCGAAATCTATTCACGTGTTCGTGCTTTTTTTCGTATTCCGTCGGCGTATACTAATATATAACGCGTATAATGTAATACGAATCGCGTATAATATAATGTGATATGGGCGTACGATTTAATAATAATAATTATTTGCGTGTTCTTACACACACACACACACAGATATATATATATATCATGTCATGTTTCGCCGCAATAATATTGTACACACCGCAAGTACGTGATGTCATACCTTGAGGGGAAGGGCACACTCCGAGACGTGTCTTGTCCGAGTGTCGGGGCCGAAAACGAATGCAAAAGTCGCTATAGTACTAGCACGCACCGCGCAATCGGTCGTGTATATTATTATTATTATATATAGCAGCTGTATGGAAGTTACGGTGACGGCAGTGATGACGACTACGCTCCGAAGACGACGACGACGACGACGATAGCACACTAATCAGACGACGTCTGCCGCCGTCGCCGTAATGTATATATATTATATACATAAATTGTTGCGTTACACGACGGACAACGGTCAAACGCAGCAGAGACAAAACGACGATGAGAAACTGACGGCGGCGGTGGATTACGTGCGTTGGGTGTGAAAGTACGCCAACCGTCACCGCCGCCCCGCGCTAATACCACAGAGTAGATTAAATACGCCGTACACGGCCCCAACGCGCGTCAACCTCCGCCGCAAGATAGAATAAAAAAAAAAAAAAACTATCAAACCGTTTTCGAATATGTGATTTAGTTGCTTACGTCGCGATATAATGACGACGTCCTCTCGGTTTTGGTCTCCTCCTCCTCCTCCTTACCCCCCCAACAATACATGTATGTATAATACGCGAAGGGTCTCAGACCTCAGTGTATAAAGGTTGAAAATAATATTTTTTCGAAATAGTATTTTATGTTACACGACAAAAATAAGTATTGTACTTAGTGCAATAACACTATTGAGCAAATTCTGAAAAGATTTTGATTCGCAGTCGCCGAAATAATTAATTAAAAAATATGGCATTAGAAGACTTAACCATTAGTTGTAGTGGAATAATAATAGATTTTAACATTTTATCATAGAGAGATTCTCTTAGACCTTATTCTCTTGTAAGTAATACCATGTATTAAATATCATTAAATTTCCATAGATTTTTAATATTTAGTTATAAAAGTAGCGTTTTTGTACAATACACAGTTAACACGTTTTTCCACTGGTTCCTATTCACTCTACGTTCGAACTTGTGTTTAGGTTTTTATTGACTAAGATAATAACGTATGACGTACAAGGTATTTATTTTTTTTATTTTTTATTATTATTGTGTGGTATAGGAGTATGCATGATTTGATCTAAAGTTTTTTTTTCAATAAAAAGTCGTGAGTAGAGCAAATAATAATAACTTATTATAACATGCAGATAGGATTTCTCGAGAATCCGGCTCCGGTGAGGTCAGAAATGCGAAAATGAAAAGTTTAGTTGATTGTAATTTGTATTAAGACTTAAATGATATTCTGTTAAATGTTCGTAGGTACGTGATTGTGGTTAGAAAACAGACCGTCACGCAATCGAGTCTTCGCGTTTCATATCGTTCCTTGACTCAAATTGATAAAAATAACCTATTGAATAATATTTATCCACATTTTCACCCCCCCCCCCCCCCCCTCCATCAATGATTTTAATATACAACCATCACACACATACTATAAACAGAAAAAAAACACCAATAACTAATACCAAAATGATTATATTGCTTGAATCCGTTATTGTTTATTAGGGCTTAAATCAGTTTTCGCTACAGACCATAAACAGACCTATCAACCGTTTCCACAGATTTCCAGAGGTACGTAAAATATTACACTACACCAATATAGTAATAATAATATATAATATTTCTCCCGAGTATCATCTATTTATATATATATATACGAGTATAGTGCAATATAAAACAAGCATAAAACGCGGAACGAGTTTATCGTCGTCTCTTTCCGTCACTTTTTCTCTATCTATCAGCTATCTACCTATCTTTAACTATCTCTTTCGCTCTATAACTCTCTCTCTCTGATCTTGCGTGGTTATAATACAGCAGTTTGTGTACACACACACACACACACACACACACACACCTCGCGAGCGTGCATATATGTATACACATGATATTATTATCTTTTTGTTTTAACGAGATAAATGCCTTAGGGGCCACTGTTGGGTCCACATAGCGAGGAGGTGGGTGGCGGACCCGAGTGATTAGGCGAGCGCCGCCGCTGCAGCCGTGAGAGATTCGTGAGAACGTGCCGGACGCGGCGGAGGTCTTGTTGAATGAAAAACACGATGCGGCGGCGGCGGTGGCGCCAAATGATGTCTGTCCGCGTGCGCGTCCGATTTGAATATAATAAACGCGACGACGGCCGAGACGATTGTCGTCGGCCATATCAATTATTTTATATTAAATAGGTATATTATAAACATAATATATTGTATATATTATAATATTATATTATTATACTGCTATCGTCCGTCCCGCTCATCCTTAGGTATAATATATTATACGATACACCAACTTACTCGTCTGTTGTTGCGACCGATACGTTTTGCTGTTTTTTTTTTTATTATACACGGTCTTAGGATTTTTTTCGCCTCCTCTGAACGTCAAATATATTATAGTACGAGCCATAACATGGCGCGTAACGTATCGTCGTATACGGGTTGGGTTTCGCACGACTGTCTATATAAACTGAATAATATTACCTCACGAAAACAATGAGACGCGAGGGATTTTCTTTTGTTCAGGTCTTATTCCTTGTTGATTGGTTTATAAGTAAATAATATTTACAAAATACCTACTCTTGTGACTTCCGGAAACCTATTTCTGTTGTCTTATACTTAAGTGCTGTGTGCGTAAAAAGGACCGATTTTATTTCGTACATTTTGGTTATCTTACACCATGGCACTATAGGGCGCCCGGATGGATACGGAAACTAGAGAAACTTTTAAATCGCATGTATACATATATATTTGCTCGGGCCAGCGCGAAAGCTCTTGCTGCCCCGGTTTAGGAACACTGCGTGGCAGGGGCGGCAGGAGGAGTTAACGGATATCATGTGTCTCCGGTCAAACGGAACGCACATACAAGGATAATTGGACACGACCGGCGTCTAGTCCTTTTACACACACACACACACACACACACACACACACACACACACACACACACACACACTGTGGTCAGGCAAAGAAACGAAGATATAAGAGAGAGAGAGAGAGAGAGAGAGTGAGTGAGTGAGTGAGTGAGCGAGTGAATGGACCGTCACGACCAGTTCCCTTCCACCTTCCACTAGCGCATATGTCGTTCGATTTGTTCAATTCCGCCGTACAGTCCTTTTCCCGAGACTTGTCCTCTCCGTCTATCTTCACACACATACATACACACGACGCGCGTGTTTACACGTATATCTTATATCGTTAGATCTCCTCTCTTCTCCGGTCCAGCAACCACCAGCAAGACCCGTATATGCGCGCACACACACATCGTCGGAGCCGGCGTCTTTTGTGGCGCCGCCGTCGCCACCAACGTCCGATGGTAGTGTGTTCGTATAGTATTAATACACATGCTCGTAGATATTATAAAAAAAGTGGAATGGCGCGAAAAACGACACACGTGCGACCCTGAATTAAAAAAAAAAATTGTCTTTTTCGATTCTCCCGTAGTATTCAGAGGTTATACGACGAAGGTACGGCTGTACGTTAAACGTTTACACGTCATTATTTTAGCGTCGTTAATATTTGGCGTGGAGATCACTTATACATGCCGCTGTGGTCGATCACAATCGGAAAACGGTTGTCGATTTCCGACCGCTTCTTATATTATACAATTGTATATGAATACATTATACACAATATTAGCATTACGTTCGTGTAGGCTTTCTTGTATACTATAATAATATGTGCAATGTTCTGCGGATATACGTGTGTCATTTATTATATAGCAATCGTCGGTTGGTCGACAAAACTCTAATTCGTGTGTACTGGAAACCCGTAATTAAGTTTAATCAAATAATATGATACGAACGGGTAATTATTTTTATTCGTTTAACATTTAATTTTCGGTTATATTTAATCGTTTCATATATTTGTCACGAATGTATATTACTACGTGATAATATTTAAATAAAAGCTAAAAAAATATAATAATCATGCCAACGGTTGTTAATTATTTAAAAATCGTATTTCGAAAATTAATTATACAGTGATAGTAATAGTAATAGACTGTACCTAGTCCTAGGACTAACCTAACCTAACCTACCTACTTTGCGCAGGGGAATTTTCGTGTTTTATTTTTATTTTTTTCACAGTATTTAATTAGGACTTGCTAGTTATTGTATACACAGAACCACTAATACAGCCAAATCGTGTCGCTCTGGCAACTGTATTTCATGTTAATATTTTAGTGAAACCGAACTAAAGTGACCTATATATATATTATGCATTATATCTATTGTCGTAACAACCGTTTTTTGGGGTGAAAAAAAATTCGCCGGACGTGTCGTTCCGCATTTTGTTAATGTGTCGTGTTCGTATTATACGAGGGTTTTTAATAATTCAAACAACCTTTTATCGCCGGTCAATCAGCACCTGTGTCCCGACACATCAGGTGCCTTGCACGTATATATCAAATGGCCCCTTCGCGTTCACCTCGTGTCGCACGTTTCAAAAATAATAAATTATCTATATTGGATCTTTTCTTTCTCTCTCTAGACCATACTGAACTCGATGCACAAATACCAGCCTCGCTTCCATCTAGTCAGAGCCAACGACATCATCAAGTTACCGTACTCAACTTTCCGTACCTACGTGTTCAAGGAAACCGAGTTTATCGCTGTTACGGCATATCAAAACGAAAAGGTAATGACTCATTTTTCATAGTTATATTTATCTTGCATATAGTTGGGGGATTGATTGACATTTGATCACTCGAGTCGTAGTAAAAATGCACATTCGCTGTTATGTTTACCTACTACAGTGTATTTTCAATTTTTAGATAACTCAGTTGAAAATCGACAACAATCCGTTCGCCAAAGGATTCCGAGACACCGGTGCTGGTAAACGAGAAAAAAAGTGAGTACAAGTATTATTGTTTAGTACGCACATTTAAGAATTATTGTGACACTATGTGTCTATGTATGCACTGCAATACGTACATACGCTATCTCGATACATATATAATAATACTACGGATATAATATTGAATATAATATTTCATAAAATTCGTTGTGGACGATAATATGTTATCTGTATACGTATTTTTTTATTATCATTATTGGTTTGAAAACCAAAACCGTTTTCCCTTTGTTCACTGTTGAAATTACCTCCAATTGATATTTATGACGAACGCACACGTTCACTATAATATTATTATGCACATACATACACAAATCGTGAAAACGATCGTCCGATAAAAACACAAAAAACAACGTGTATAGAACGATACGATTTACATTTTTATTTTTTTCCATCGTTATTATTATTTTTTATTTTTTTTACCGGTCGGAAGTGCGATTATTGTTATAATACTTTAACACTAACACACACATTTTTTCGTGATATGATTTCGTTCTGTCACGTCGCGTGTGTGCAATAATGAATCCTCCGTTTAATAGCTTTTTCAAAGTGTAACGCGCGCAATCGAGATGATTAATCAGTGTACCTATGTCATATATATATATATATATACTATATAAATAACAATACATAATATATGTATTATTAACATATTATTATAATATTATTATCAGTTGATTTTTATGCAGAGACCGTCGCGTGATTATTGCCGCTCGTCCGCGTACAGCACAACTCTTCGCTTATTATAATATTATAATATTGTGTTACACTATATAATACGTAGTATAATATATTTAATTCCACACACGTATAAAAAATTTTAAAAACGCAATAGAAAAAAAAATATTGAAAACCACAAAAAGGTTACCACACACAATATACTCTAAAAATAACAATAATGCGAAGGCTTCAAAAACGATATTATATTATTATCGTTGTATATTAGTCATTTATCGATTTTTCGCTGACAATTGTCGCAGCCATCCACCCTTTTATTCAGTAGTTAATTTAGTGTTAGTCGGTCTGTTTGGTTTGGCTTATATATACATACACAATACGGCTTAATGATATGCGAGGCGTCATCGTCACAGGATAAAGGTCAAAGTGAATGAGACGGTTTCGGGCATGCGTTGCACGAATTACTATACTGGCGGTGCGTTTGTAATTTTTTTTTATATTATATATGGTTTAGCCTTTATGTTAGTTAGGTATAAAGAGGCGAGTGAGCGAACGGATAGTTCATAGGGGTGAAGGGGAGGGTCAAAAGGAAAGGACGAAAAGAAACATTTATATATGTATATATACACACACGCGCGCGCGCGCGCGCGCGTATACTAAAAATAAGAGAGGAGATCCCACTAATGACACCGCAAAGGTCGTGAGCGTGTATAGAGTCGTCGCGAAATGCCTTTTAATTTAAAAAGTCGACGCCCACCAGATATATCTAATAATAATGCGACGGCTATTATCGTTGGTAGAGAAAGGAGGTGAGGGGTGCTGTTCGCGGCCCATTTAATTCTGTGCAAAAGGCTATATACGAATACTACTCGCGTCGCGTTTAAAAATCCCCAGCTGGTAAGTCGAGTGAGAGGTGTGGGGTGGGAACGGGCTTTGGTAAAAAAAAATATAACCGCATAACTCGAAACATTTTAAATGTTCCCCGGGGATGTTACTGCAGTGGCCCGCGTATAATTTCACCATGACCCTCCGCGAACATTTTAATTGTATACTTGGCCGCCGTGCCGTGACCCGCACACGAGTTCTATCGTTTACACTAAAGACCGGGTTACGTATAAACGTAAAAAAAAAAAAAAAATGTAAATAACATTTTGTGAACTTTTCACCGTAAATGTTCATTTTTCGCAAGTTCTTAATTACGCGTTTCAAAAACTATTAATAAAACGCCAATTTTAGAATCTCAAAACGTCGTGTATCAGTTGCGTCGTTGCCTATGCCGCCTGCGTGATTTACTGTTCAGCCTTGATTTTTGGGTTCATATACATATATTGTAATACAACCGGAAGGTTAATAGATATTTATACGCATCGTACCGTGTATAGCACTATAAAAGACAAAGGCATAATGTTCACAAATATTTCAGAGTAGCGAATAATTGAAAGTAGACCAAACGGACGATGGTCGAGTTATAGTAGTACAATAGCGTAGTATGCTGCGGATGATATTAAACGCATTTACAGTCTTAGTAGGTATTAACTAGAACTAGGTTGAGTCCTAACATTTAACTCGCCTCCCCTTTAAAGCATTTCCCAACGCAAATGGCTTCACCCTCGTTTTTTGCGCACCGTGTTAAATTCCGACGGTCGTCGGGTAAGAAATCACCCCCAGCTTGGCCAGCTTGGAAGGTTTTTCAGGTCGGGTTTGGATTTCGCGTGCGGTACCCATGCATTTAAACACATACGCACTCATATATTATCACGGGTATACGATATACATGCATAGACCGTCTCGTTTAATTTGTTCGACGTCCGGGACATGACATGCACGCGCACCCGACTCCGAACTATTAACTATATTATATTATATCGTGTCGTCGTCGTCGTCGTTACTTGTTATACACACCTCGACCGGTACATATTATTATTAAAAGAAGCGCTCGCGCGCGTGTGTGCAGTAATAGGTATAAACGGTGCATAGCAACGACTCGGCAGCAGGTATATAGCAGACGGTACGCGCGTGTGTGTGTATGTATGTGTGTGTACATTCTCGTATAAAATATAATAATAATGTATGTACGTAGCAAGTAGTAGTAGTAGTAGTAATAGGTTAGGTGCCGAGGAGGCGGCTGACAGAAATATTGTAATAATAAATTACCTCCGCCGCCGGCAGAGCCACTCGGTTTGTTTGTTTTTTGTGTTCGGGCGGCTGCTGATGCGCCGTTGCTGATATCCATTGATAAAAAATATATAATATGTATATATATTAATCTTTTCGTTTTTTTTCTTCTTTAATTTTCGTCCTTTTTTTCGCGTCCGTTAAACATTTCACACTCGATTAGTATAAAAATAATAATATAGTATTACTATACTAATACATACCTATGACAGTGTATCGTGCTATTATATAATATTTTCGATAAAATAAAGTTAAATAATGCAATCGTAATTATTGCGTTCCTTTAATCGTTTATATTATGCTCATTTAATATACAATTATGACATTCTTGATGCTCGATTTACCACCACCATCATCATTGTCGACGGTAAAACTCGTCAACATTGTTTTACTATAATACCTACTATATCATGTACAAGTCATTTTAATGTGCAATGTACATCCGTGTTCCGAATTCCACCAAAAACAATATTAGGTAATAATTATAATGATTACTGTGCAATGCGCTTTGTTGCGGTGTATGTAATATAAAATTGTTCTCGATCACCGGAACCTACTCGAATGTTATTATTATATTTGTCTGACACCTAAAATAATCGACACGGCCTTGTATTTTTTTCAATCCCAGTCGGAATATTTTAATCATGAAATAAATCGAAACGCGTATCGAGCGGACTTTCAAGAACAATATTATATTTTTTAAATAAGACCGAGAACAAAGCAATAACTAAAAATCTACTTATACACACACGACTTCCTTATCGTGTAATATATACTGCTGGTCTGACGTTCGCTGATGTTGACTCACACTAGCCAACAATTCGGGAACAATTTTAATATTAATCAAGCCTCACAACGTTTGACATTGTAATATCATCATCATCGGAAGAGGGAGTGGGGTTTTTTAGTGTACACCGTTTTTCTTGATACTCATTTGTAGTCCTTTACCAGTTTAAGTATAATGGTATATTGCATTTATAGTTCTCTCGAGTAACTTTTTTCATTTTGTTTCTTATAATATTATAGTATATATATTATGATTTCAGTAATTCATAATTATTCCGCATTGAGGTTGTTTATATTACATAGACTTTTTTTACAAATAATAATTGTAATCGCCTGTGGTATTAATAATATCATTTATATATAATATTATATAGCTGGCGCCAGGTGAGGCGATGGAATGCCATGTACGGATCCGTGAAACGATTATTATTTTTGTAGCGCCCAACCGTAATCATTTGTCAATTCGAATCCATTAGCGAACCTACATGGTTTTATATCTCTTGACGAAAATGGTAAAGAAACCATCATCGTCGTCATTGCTGCTGCCTATAGACTCTGTCTGGTTTCATCTTTTTGATTTCCTTTTCGCGCGTTTCTTTATTGCCGTGAAAAAAAAAAGACGTCAATAATAATACTGCGTGATTATATACTCAAGAATTCGGTAAACGAGATAATGCGATTTGTCATTACTCGCTTTGGTTTTAACACGACAGACAAGTACGTTGCTCTGTCGTGTAATGAGTTTCGGTCAAGTTTAGGAAGTGTATATTTATATTATTTCGGAATCAGATAATATTTTTTTATTTCCCTCGCGAATATGCGCCATTATCAAAAACAGCAGTATTACGATACCTTTGACTTCTGATAAAATACATAATTTCATTCAAAAAATATCGATTACTCGTGATCGTTCGTGTGAAATGAGAGAAAAAACTTTAACCACGTGGCCCTTTGATCGTATATTATTACGCATGTACGAATAGACATGATAAAGTTTTTCAGTCATTGCTAAGAGACTTTTGCTAGCTTATTTTTGTTTTTCTGTCAATCTGCAGATGTGTACAACGTAATGGTGTTTTCAGGCAAGCAATGTTGACGGCGCAACGACACGGTGGCCAAACAGTTCAAAGCCAAGACGAAAAGCCCTCTGGTTCAGATCACGAAGATGATAAACCACTGGACGTTGTCGGTGGAGGAGACCCTGACTCGCCAATTTCTGCTCACCATCATCACCATCACCATCAACCCCACCAACCCGGTAAGTCTAAATCATATGAACCTTTCAGTCTTAAGATTTTAATTTTAATTTTACTATAACGAGCGAGTTTTTTTTTAATTTTTAGGTTCGTGGTTTTCGGGATTAGCTGATAGTAGTCTGCTCCTAGAGGACGCTATGAGAAGGCGCCTGGCAGGTCATCCGGCCCTTCATCACGCAGCGTTCCTACAACACCATCATCACCAACAAACTCATCAGCAGGAAATTGACAGTGAACAAGAAAGCAGTTGTTCCGAATCAGGCCGGGATAGAATGAACTCGCCGTCCGATAAGGAGTCAGCTGGTCCTTCAGGTAAGAGACACTCTCATTGAATTATTTTACTAAACTTTATTCGATTGTATCCAAAACTACTGTACACTTATAATTTTGATTCAAAAATCGTCAATGCACAAAAATCGTAAAATTGTCGATTCATTGTCACAAACTATTTTTTAATCTATAAACCAAACGTATTATGAACGTCAAAAACTTTTACTTAGTTAACAATGATTTTGTTTTAAATTTTAATACTCTTTAGAATTACCAAACGAAATGATTTATGTATGTATACATAAAAAATGAAATTTTTTGTTTGACAAGTAAAATAAATATTTAACTATTATGTAATGAGTATAATAACTAACAGTAGTCAATGATTTATTTTATATTCTTTTCATCTTTTGTTTAAACAAATATAATTAATACCTTTTACATTTAAAAATATATATCTACATTTTAATATAATTATAAAAAGAACAAAATAGATTTAATATTTTATTTGCTAGTTGTATAGATAAGTGATAAATGATAAGTATAATAATTATTTATAATATTTATCAAATATGTATGTGTTTACAATGATGTATCAAGTAAAGATGGATTAGAATTGGAGAAGTTCAACCGTAAACAAACAATTTCATGAGAATAATAACATCCTACTGTTTTCCAAAACGTATACAGCATAAAATATTTAAGAGGGTGCCCGTATAAAATCGGTCCAGTGCACGATTTTAGCTTAACCCTCCTTTTACCATGTTCTCGCAAAGTCCTTATCAAATTAGTTTTAAAAATAAAGCATTTAATAGAAATAAAACATGACAAAGATAAATATATATTCTTTTAATTTTAAGTTTATTTAAAAGGCAGAACGACAGGTTTACAAGGGAACGTTATAAATTATAAAATAACAACGTGAAATAATACAAAAAAAAAAAAATAATAAAATAACGTTAAATTAAACAAATGATTGTGTTAGGAAAATTGCTGTGGAAAAAGGCACTTTTTTTCAACTCGTAGTGAGTCAATGTCGTTTACGTGTAATATTGTTTATAAATTTAAATTATACTTGAAGGAAACATATAAAGGAAAATATAAAAAAATATAACACTGATGACAAAGACAAATGATACGTAATGATTTTGGTGAACGATGACCAAAGAGTATTCTTAAATTACCATTAGTAAACACATAAATTAACATGTTGTCTGAGAACCGTGTGTAACCGTAAGAACAAAAAAAAAAAATCCTTTTATTTTAATAAAAACCGTCTATTTTTCCCAAAATGTATTGTATTAACCACTATTTGGTTATAGTGATTACGCTACATTTATTATTAGAGATGGGAATTTTAGATAACTTATGTAATTTTTTTTAAGTAATAGTATATAAATATATTTTTTCGTTTAATAAATGTATCATGAACTCAATAATGTTTATATGACTTGTAACCATTGTACCACGCCTTAACCCAAGTATTATGTAAGTTTAAACAACGTACCTAACAATAAATGAGTATAATTTATGAATTATCTGAACTCTAAATTATTTGAGCTAAGGTCTTTTACTTTGCCTTTATAATAATACTTGGTCAAACGTTGTCACACAATTTTATGAACGATAAAAATAAAATTTCTGTAAATTTACCGAACTCCTCCCCCATATGTTCACAACACTATACTTACTACGGCCCACAATATTCATGTTTTGCGTTTTGTGTTCCCACAGGACCCGGACACAGCCCCGGCGACTACCCGTCACCGAACGTGTCGTTTGGACCACCGATCCCCCCGTCGCCGCACCTGTTGCCATACTTGTATCCCGGCATGTACCCCGGCGGCCCTGGCCTGGGCGGTCCGCTCTGCCCGTCGGCGCTCAGCCCTACCACCAACCTGCTGTTCAACGCTCAGCTGGCGCTGGCCGCTCACCACCCTGGGTCGCTGTTCACCCAGGCGTACCTGCAGGGCGCCGCGGCCGGTGGCGGCGCTGGCGGCGGTGGAGGCGGTGGCAGTCACCCGTTCAAGATGACCACCAGCGGTCTGGCCGCGGCCGCGGGCCTGGGCCGGTTTCACCCGTACCACCTTGGCCTCCATCACCCGCTTCACCCGTCGTCCGTCGGCTCTGCGTTCGAAACCGTGACGCCCGGCCGGAGTTCGTCGGCCGGCAGTACGCCGCCGCCCGCGCCGCTCGACCTCCAGTCGCCGACCAACGGCGGCGGTGGCGGTCGACAGACGTCGCCTCCACAACAGCCGCTGCCGCCGCCACTGCCTCAGCAGCCGTCACCGGCCTCGGTGCAGCAGCTGCAACCGCCGCCGCGACAGTCGTCAGTGTCGCCGTCGCAACGGCAACACCACCACCACCACCGGACGGCTGCCGCCAATCAGCCGTCGCCGACCAGCAGCGAACTGAAGTCCATCGAGAAAATGGTCAACGGGCTGGACTCGGCGTCAGCGGCAGCTGCGGCAGCAGCAGCGGCAGCAGTGGCAGTAGCGTCGTCTACGGCCGACGAACAACAAGCAGCAGCAGCATCAGCAGCAGTGGCGATTGTCAAGTAAACCGCGCGTAAACCTCCCCTGCCGCCGTCCTCCACTACCAAATCATCCCCACCGCCCCCTTGAACATTTACACATACACTCATCACACATACGTATTACACTCACATACACGCGTTTCTACTATGTTGTATATATAATATGATATTATATGATAAATTTGACTTCGTTATTGTAGAAAATTATTTACAATTATATATATATTATATATAGATAAGGCATTTTTAGTGTATTTAACTATATGCATAGAAAATAATGATATACATATTATATTATATTTATTGATTAGGAAATGTATAAAATAATAATATATTATATATTATAGAGAAACTATAATACTAAAACGTGCAATAGTATAATAATATTATTTAACTTATAAATATTTAATTATTTAAACGAGTAAATTGCGATTTATTTTTTTTTTTTTTTTTATAATTTTTTTCATTAGTTTTAGCGGAAAGATTGATTGTAGATTGTATTGGTTTTCCCAAATAGTAATAGATAATAATATCAATCTATTATTATATACGATATAAATACATATTATAAATTATATATTGTATCCCCGACCCTGGCATTCAAGACGAAAAAATATGTTCCTAAAAGTCAAATATTTGAAAAGAAAATATATTAATTGTATCGTCTTAAAACTAAAATTTGATAAAAAAAAAAAAAAACAAACAAACAAACAAACAATTCCAGTACAAAAATTTTATATTTCGCCAAAAACAAAACGTGTTTTAATGCAAAACTGTTCCTATGCGGTTTCTTTTTTCAAAACTGGTGCTAATAACGGACTTTTTATGAGAAAAAAAATCTGCTCACGTTTTGAAGAAAATTTCGAAAAAATTTACATGTACATATCCTTTTTGTTAGTGATTATTATTATATTACCGACTTCTTATTGTACATTTTTGAACTGCAAAATTGGCGAAGTCGGTGACGACCGATGTTTTTTTTAAATGTAATATAATTATATTTGTTGTGTGCTACTTAATATTTTTCTTGTGTATAAAGATAAATAAAATTAAACATAAATACAGAAACATGATAATATTATGAGCGTTATTTATTTAATTTTTTTTTTTTGTTTCATCTATGTAACGAAAATCCTTCAAATAATCCTTAACAATTGTGAAAAATCATGACATTTGTTACCAAAAATATAGCAAATATTGTCGAGATATTTCATGGTTTTATGTCAATAAAAAGTCGTAGTGTTTATGAGCTTATGAATTTAAAAGAAAATACAATATGTCAACTTTTATGTTTTTCATCCACAGAAACGTAAGCATGCTGATTTTATTTCATTATAAATCAATTGTATGCAATTTTAATTTGTGCAATACGACGATTGTACTATTTTTCGACAGGTAAATAGAACGAATAATTAGGGATGATCCTTATGTGATTATGGGCTGCTCCTGTCCTTGAATAACGAAGCAACGTTGCCAGATCATTATGAAACAACATAATAAATTAAATTTACTTAACCGGACAACTTTTTTAATATTCACAAACCAACGGTTAATTGCGTATACAAAAGATTCACCTTTTACAATCTATATAAGTAATTTTATTGTTTGAACATGACTAGTTATTAATAAATAAGTGCTTTTAATCATACGATTTTTGTTGGTATCTTTTAAAGCATACCACGTAAACGTTATTATATACGCTATTGTTTTGCAAGATATGTTGGTACCACGTGTGTTTTGCACAGTATGTGTGTAGATAAAAATCCGTACAGGTGTACCTCAGGTCCTTAAACTGGATGTACCTATTCCACAGACTAGTGACTAAATTCGTAATTAATTATATTTTATATGCGGCCGTGGTATCGCAGCAGGTGATTGACGGACAATACGATATGTATTATTCACACAGTGTTTTTTTAATAATAATAATAATGATGGACTTGCAATCCTACACAAATAGTACATTATTTGGGTAACATTATTGATAGAAATTGAAGGCTTTTAGTCAATCTGAAAAAATCTTTCCAACACCAAACAAATAAAAACTAATTTTTATATTATTATTATTACAAGTTTCTATAGAAAAGTAAAAAGTATAAAGAATATTTTTTTAGTAATATTGATGAATGTTTTAAAATAAAATTTCTTATTTTCCTTGCGGAGGTTTTTTGTTAACAAACGGCAATCGAAATGTATAAAAACTGCTGCGGTTACTTTTGCTGCATAGTCTGTTTGAATATTCAATAAATCGTTGAAGTGTAGACATGTAGAATATGAAAAATTAAATTCCGAGAGAAGGAGGCAGAGTTTAAAGCTCAACTTAAAACGCTTACCAAATAAAATTGTTATATTATATAATATTCTTTTCGGTATTTTTAAATTGCTTTAAGAACAACTTTAATGAAACGTTGTGTCACATTTTCAAACCTTATAAATTGGAAACTGAACGAAGTTTTTGAACAGCATTTATTTGTGTACATTTCAAGATTTGATTATCTGTAACGAATTTTCAGCTATTATACAGTTCGAGTGAAGCCACATTTTATTTATTGTACTACTACTACCCACATAAGTAAATAGCTATACTCTCTCACAGCAATAGTACCCGGATTTTTCATACGTATTACGATGGGTAAGTATATGTTGGCAATCAAAAATCACCAGTTTACGTATGCGTTTTTGATTTCAAGGAAAACCCTATCGTCGACGAACGAATATTTGATAATACGCGAACGGCGTGTGAGTGGAAGAGAACGGTAGGGAAACAATAATCGCAGACTGCTGTTGCACCGCTGCAGTTTTCGTAATACCTGTTGAAATCGAAATGTGTACTCGTCGTTAGATACTCATACGTACACACAGCTATACAAGACGTATAATATAATATAATGTAGGTACCTACTGTAAATAATATATGTTTCCTATATATTATCATGCATTGTGTCTCGGTGAAATTGTCGGAGAAATCGTTGAACTGCGGCGGCGGATGATGTTCGCAGGTATGATAATAATATGATATAATATACAATATGTATGCGCACTGAAATATATATCTCGTTCGGAGGGGTACCTCCTATATATATTCTGCAATTGTATTATTATTATTATTATTATTATAAGCCGATCGTATTCGCGCGCGAGATGTAAGTATACGCCGAAGGAGACTACGGTAACCTACCTATATGTATAAATGGAAATCGTTTATTCTTTATTTTTTATTTTTTTTTATCGTTATTATTATTGGTTATAGGAGGAGGATGTGTATTGTTCGTTTTGTTTTGTTTTTTTTTTTTTTTTTTTGTTCGGTTCGGTTTTGTTCGCCACCGCGGCACTCCGTAATGGTCGTCGATCGCGATCGACCAATGATCGTATCGTCTATGCGAGTCATATCTGCTGTCGTTCCGTGTTTGAAGCGTACCTTATATACAGCTACCGGTTACCAGTTATATAGAATAAATATCGGGTTACCGCGGTGTACATGGGTTAGGAAAATTTCGCCGAACGCGATTCACCAACGTCTACATCTGCGGCACCACCGGTTTCGCATTGTAAGCATAATTATGGCAAATGATTTTTTGTTGCCCACAAACCGTATGAAATTCGCAAGTATCTTTTGGCTTAATCATTGCAGACGTTTGATTGCGGCGGCTATGTAGTGGTTATGTCGCAAAACCCGTTATCGTGTAAGACTGCAGGTATGAAGACCTCTGTAGCGGTTATGAAATAGGAACTCTATTCGTTATAAGCATTTGATTGTGGTGTGCATATGCAGCTTTTAATAATTATACTATTACTCTTCCAGTTAAGAGCTCTATAGTGATTAAAAATATGGTTTTCATTCAACCGAGGTGTACAATACACGTTAATTTTTATGAAGGCGTACATCTGTATGTGTGGCGGGCGATTTTAGTTAATGCGTGAAAGTTAGCCCTCCCCTTCCACTATTTTGTCCAAATTACAAATTTTTAGTTGTAGAACTTACTGTGTAAGTGACTTCCAAGTTCATTGACTTAAAGGTATGTTCAGAATTAATTTAAGAGCTAGGGGGGCTAGCTTCTGACTAGTCTCACTATTTTCAAATTTCTCCGGACTTTCAACTTATAATTATATTTACAAATTAAGCTTTTTTTTTTTTTAATTACAATCTATACAGCAATTTTGTACAATAAGTAATATTGATAAAGTATTTACATAATAGCGTGATTAACAGATGGGGGAGGGCACTCAGTAGTGCCACCCGACAGATTAAATTAGAAGGTCTCTAGGCCAGGAGCGTTTTAAACGTCTCAGGGGGTTATCAGGGATTGTTAAAGAGGATATGCGTTTTATTAAAACGTTTATATTTAAAATTTTATTTTAAATTAAGCTACAATTTATTATTTGAAATAAAAAGTGAGCTTCACTACACGCACTGTTCAAGATATCTATTTACCAAATCAACAACTTAGATACCTCGAAAGCTTTGGAGTTTATTTCCATAAAAAAAAATAGTTGACATGCGTAGGTATAATGTACAATTTCAGTAATAATAATTACGATAACCCGTCTTTCTAAATCTGTGCATGCAGTACAGCCAAACGTCTAAACCACTGCTTGTATAGTGTAATAACATATACATACAGTTATACAGAAGCGCGTTATGATTATAAGGCCAAGTCGCGACGAGAACTATTATTATAACCGTGTTAAAACGATAATAAAACCGGTATCACTTAAAAAAAAAAAAAAAAAAAAAACTGACAAATAATTACACTAGGACCGACGCGTCGGCGGGCGGCCCCGTCACTGCGAGCCGTGAACGTATATATTTATTATTTATAATGGTATGAGTAGGAAGTGACAAGGAACTAGTATCAAGTTGGTCTCTGGCAGAAGTCGTTATAATCGAAACAAACCCACTATCCAAATTTGGGTGAATGTTCGATATCTTGCTCATGTACCAATAAATTTTTTTCTCGCACAAAAAAATTAATAGTATTTTTACAATATTATACCTTATTAGTGTACAAAATATTCAAATATACAGATCTTATTGATCTTAATATCTATACCTTCTCCGAATAGGTACATATTGATTCTCCCGGCGGCGTAAAATACATTTTTTCTTTATTTTTTAAGGGCAACTTTTAAATATATTCGTACAAAAATCTTTTTTTTACATATTGGCATGTATCATAACTAAGTCCATTAATTATTATTTTTAAATATGAGATAGAATGTATA